ATTTGTGATTTTTTATACCAGCAGACCTTGATTTTAGATTTCTATACAAATGAACACCACAAAGTCCATGAAAAACATATGGGAAACACCTTCTAATAGCGTTGTCAATTGAGTTTACCCTATCGGATATGATTGTCAGATTGCTAATAGGACCTATGCAATCCCTAAGATGCCCCATAAACCATGTCCATGAATAAGAGGTTTCAGATTTGCCAACCCCGTAAGCTATTGGCAGTATCCCATTATTAGCATCCATGGCTACTGCTAATAAGTTTACTCCAAGGTATCGACCTTTCAAATGTGCTCCGTCAGCTATAATAATTGGGCGCATGCAAGTAATAAACGAACGAATCTACAAAATCATATACATAAGAAATATAATCATTTAAATGTGAAATGCATGCAACTAACAAAAATGACTCAACAAAATTATAATTATTTACTAACCGCAGCACCAATAGCGATAAACACAACTCAAAGCATCCATCTCTATCTGTTTTGATATGAGTTACCGACCCAGGATTTTTCAGCTTTAAATTGTGACAATAAGCCGGCAGTTGGGCAAACGATGCTTCTGGTAACCCCCTCAACAATTCCAAGGCATAACATTTGGCTCTCCAAGCTTGAGAATATGAGATACTAATCTTGAACCGAACATTTATGTCAGTCATAATTTCATGTCCCCGATATACCCTTCCATTCAAAAACATTAACTCAGCCAGAAAACCACCCAACACCTTTTTGTTTGCCTGTCTATGGTGAGGAAAAACTTGGGCTCTTGAACATGTATGCTTATCAATAAAAGTCCTAACTTGAAACATTTCGTAATCTTTTATTCTCTTTGCAATCATACGCCACGTACAGTTTTTGTCAATCATACACCTTGTTTCGAAACGATCTTTCTTGATTTGTTAACTTTTAGTTGATAGCCATCTTCCACACATTTCGTATACAAAGCTATCTTCAAGTCTTCCTTTGTATCAAAACAATCATCTTTCTTGATACGAATAACTTTTGTGTAACAATCAACTGATATCTTTACCAACTCTTCTTCCGGTATCTGAAGTAATTATGCATATTCAGTTATACTCTCGTGGCATTTTCTTCTTTTTTCCTTCTTCGGGGACTTTTTCTTTTTCTTTTTCTTCTTCAGGGTTATATGAATTACAGAATGGATGTTCAACATGTTTCATTCACAGTCGTAACTTCCTCTTCATTATCATCAACAACATCTTCCTCGACAGCGGCTGTTTCATCGTCAAAATTCGGGTATTGACCATATTAAAATCATTACATGCAGGGTCTGTTTCTTCTTCCATCACATCATCAAAATCCGAGTATTCCCCAAGATCAAAGTCCGTGTATTGACCAAGATCAAATTTCGAATACTGACTAGTACTCATAATTTTTTCTGTTGGCTCATAATCGTCTAACTGGTCATACGAAAATCGGAATTTGGTGCTGAACGTTGATTGGATTGGATAGGAAAGGTTGTGGGTTTTGAGATTGTTTGTATTGTGTTTGGTATTGGAAATGTGGTGAAACAAAATTTGCTTGGTGATGAAATTGTGGTGGAACCATTAATTTTGGGTTGAAGAACTTAGTTGATTACTACACGCTACTGACCCAACTTCACTACTTCTAGGTTCACAACATACAATGTAACATCATCTTCTTGCGAAACACTAATGTAAGCAATGAATCGTTCAACGTCTTCATTATCGGTTAACAAATAAACTTTACCTTTTCTCTGATAAGATAACCTAAATCCAGTTAGAGGCTCTAAATTCAATTTCTTTGCAACACGTAACTTAGAGTTTCATAAGTTAACTTTTTTAATGACAGTTTTAGTTGAGATTCATGGGTAAAGACACATATTGTAAAAACACCATGAACATTCTCCCATGACCCTCCAAAATACAAATCTATCCAAACATTATCAACATTAGATGATTTCATTCTACAAATTGTAAATTAATTTGCTAAACAAACGAGCTATAACTAGATATCATCACTAACTTAGAGAAAAACATACCTTTATTAAGTTGATAGTTGATAATTTGGGAGAGAAATCATTGAAAAATTATATAGAATAAAATTATGTAAAAAAAATTAGAGATGGGGAAGGATGTCGTTGGATATAGGAACGGATGTCGCCGAAGAGAGTGGTAGATGGAGATGGAATGAGTTACGATTTAGGGATTTAGGTTATGAGTTGTTGCTGCTTGCGTTGTTTATACCCAAAATATTTGTGTTGCGAAACTAAACCTGTTGTGAATTTAAAATTCAGTTGCGAATTTGAAATTCAGTTGCGAATTTGAAATTCCGCGTTGCGAATTTGACTATCGTGTTGCGATTTACAGATTCGCGTTGCGAAATTGGAAACTGGGTTGCGAAATTGGAGTTCGCGTTGCGAATTTGTTGGTCATTTTGGCAAATCCAAAAAAAAGTTGGTTAAATTCGTATATTATAAGGCATTTTTTGTCACTGAGGTTATTTTTCATAAAATTCATCAGTTAACCATAAATATATTCAATATGGTATATATTTGAATTTTTTTCTAAGTAAAACAAGATAAAATATTAGTATGATAAATTTGTTTTGATAATTTATAAGTTTAAGAGGTTGATTTCATATTTAAAAATATTTTTATAATTAATGTTTTTAAAAAATCTCTAAAGAAATGTTTAGAATTTTTTAAATAGTTTTTTATATTACTATCGTATTTATTTGAGTTATTAAATTTAACTTGACTCGGACTTAAAAAATAAAATAATCTAAATAATTCAATAAAAAAATTGAACAGCTCAAATCAATTAATTTAAAATTTATTTATTTATTTTAAATGGAATCTAATATGAAAAACTAATAGTGATGTGAAATTGCAAACACAATATGAAGATAGAATTGATGAAAGATTTATTGAGTTAGTTAAGAAGGTTAGAGTAAGATTCTTCTTTATTTCGTTTCATCTGCTTGTTAGGTTTTAATCCAAACTTAAATCGATGTAAATTCCCATTTTGGTGTAGAGTATTCAATTAAGTCACTGATCCCTTTTCCCTAATTTATAAACGACACAAAGAAACAGCAAGTAAATCTACATTCTTATTCTATACTCTCCGCATTGAATCCTCTTCAAACGAAATTAATTTTATTATCGAATTACATGTAAAAAATATAGAATTATATTAATGCATTGTAACCAACAACACAAAAAACAATTAATGGATCCCTAGATAACTGAAAAAATAATATGAAACTCAGGGACTTAGAAATGAAATGAAATGAAATTTAGGAATAAAAGTCTGTAAACAGCTGGTGCTAAATCGTCAATGTTGAAAAGATTTCCGCCAGCACTGATAAAGACCCTGGAACCTCCACCCCCTTAATCCTACCAACTCATTCATGCTTGTTCAACTAAAAATTCTATGATAGAAAAATCATTTTAATTTATGAAGAATGGATTAAAAAATAAAAATAAATAAATCTATTGTAGAACAATTAACCTTGCTTATAGAGGATTTACCGAATGAGGAGGAATCTTTTCAGTAATTGAGTTGCTAACCATTGTTGGTATTTGTGGCCTTAAAAGTTAGTTGACTACTCTCACATGCCATACATACAGAGTTCATTATCTTGCAATTTCAGACAAGAAAAATATGATAAAGCAATTACCTTTGAACTGAAACACAAGCAACAACACACATACCAAGGAAGAAATTCAAGTTTATATATCTTTTAGTGTTGCAGTCCTCACCACTCAGTGAAATCGAGAACATAGGTGGCTTAATGCAAGCTTGAATTCAACTACAAAAAATTCCAAGAACATTAATATCTGCAAATAAATTTTCAGCTACGTAATTTGATTATTTTACGATTTAATCTATATATATTTTTAATTTCTTTAATTCCTCAATTTAACTTCATTTTGGGTCAAATTTGAATAATATATTTCTAAAATAATGTAAAATATGTATCTAGCTTCAATTACTTTTTTTTTCAATTTAGTTCATTGACTTTATATAATTTTCTTGTTTCTTCAATTCATCCTTCATATTTGTTTCATTTTTAAGAAAACTTGTACCACACACTCCTCTAATATTATAGAATACCTATATAACTTCAATTTCTATTTTTAACAATACTTTTTACTTATTTTAACTTTACTTTTTATTTAGTTTGATCATCCGATTACAATTTAACGTAAAAATTTTCTTCCTATTAATTTCATTAGCCCTTTATACCCTCATCAATGCTTTGCCCTCAAAATACACACACATATATTATTTTAGATGATATTTAATTTATTAAATATAAAAATCTTAACTGTACATGTGAAAAAGAATGTGAAGAAATATATGTATATATATATATATATTATATGATTAGAAAAATTCGTTTAAGTTGAAACCGATATATAAAATAATTATAAATAACTACAATTACATTTGAACAAAAACTAAAAAAACTCAAATTGATTGAAAAATTAAAAATAAATTTAGATGATAAAATATGTCTCATCAATTCGAGAAAATTAATTTTTTTATTTAACTTGACGCTGTTCAATCGAGTACTAACCTTTGTTTATATTTCTTATAAGTAGATTTATAAAATTATTATTTATTATAATTTTTTTAAACATATTTTAATATTAACTTATAATTAGATATATAAAATTATTTTTGAATATTAATATTTTTTTATTGTTTTAATTTTTGAAGCTTCAAAATGGCAGAAGGGTGTAGTAGTGGGCTTTGGACAAAACGAATGACAGACCGTTTCGCTTATGGGCTTTGAGCAAAAATAAATATTGGGTTGAGCTGACGTATCTATTAACCCGCCACTCGTACACCACAATATGAAGAACCGTTGGAACTTGAACTCTAACGCACCAATACAATTCATTGAAGAAAAAGAAAAAAAAAAAAACCAAAAGAAGAAACAAAAGCAAAGCCGCCCGCGGGTAGACCGTCTTGTTTTTCATTCTCCCCTTTTTTAGGGTATTCACATCTGCCGCCAAGGCTCTAACCTCTTTTTTCTAGCCTCCTCCATCGCTTTGCCCGAGTTTTCGTTCTCTTCGCCGCGATTTATTTTTCCTCTACAGGCTGATCCATATAAAGCTAAGGGAGCCGTGGTGAAAAGTGCCTTGATGGCGCTCCGTTTCGAGGTCGGACTTTTAAATTTGAATGCCGCATTTGTTTTGTTTTATTCAACTTTCAAACCAAAATCATCTTAAGTTTAACGTTAGATTTTATGCCGTTTCCTGTAATACTCTCTTTAGTGTTAATATAACTTTTTCTTCTCTGGTTTTGATAGGTTCTAGGGAGGTTTAATCGTGCTCGGGCAGCTCAACTAACACTTCCCCACTTCGTATGCCAGACACCGCTTTTTATGCCAGTGGGAACGCAGGTTGGAGCTTTTAATATTACTATCACACACATATTCTATTGCATACTTGGGAGTTAGGATACTGAGAATGATTTATAAGGATCTTAAATCTTTTTGGTTGCAAAATACATTGCAATTTAGACCCTTTTTAGAATGGTAGTTTAGGTGTTTCACATCAATGCCCTTAACACTGTAGTTATTGTTAGATTGTTAATTCTTATATTCTTCTAAAACTAAGAAATGTCGATGCCTTTGAATTTGTTTGCATTTGATTCTACTGACGATTACTTTTATGAATATAAGTAACCAGCATTGCTTTCCATGGAAGGTACATTTACATGGATAGCTTGAGATTGACATATGCCCTGCACTATATAGTTTACATCTCTTTTGAATTTATTGTTTCCTTAACAACTTTGACTTGCATTCTTCTGTTTGCTACAAATAATTTGGTGTCAAGTGTATTAAATTTTTGAAAGAATCAGTATGTTCATACACTTTACAGCACAGTCCTGCTCAACTACGTCATGTGCCTTTGTTTGGATTAATGAAGTTCAATTGATCAACCGAAAAAGTGCTAAAAGAGGGTGAATTGGCCTTCTTTGGGTATGGAGTAAAAAGAGAGAGACAATTTGCACAAGGATTTTGTCATGGTGGAAGGAGAAGGGAGAGAACGCGAGGAAGAATTGGGGGAAGAATTGGGGGAAGAATTGCGAATGTTAGGGATTGAGCAAGAGAAATTAAGGATTAAAGCACGTGAGAAAGGGGCTAAGGATTTACCTGAAGTGGCAGGCTGATTCATATCAGATGATGGAGCCGGCCCAAGAAGAATGAAGGCAGCCCAAGTCAGCTAGTCCAGTATCTGCAGAAGAAGACAAAGCATTAGGGGTTGTTATATTTTGTTAGAAAGGACAGCCAGCTGGCAATCCTTCTGTTAGCATTGTAACTAAATAAATTGGCTGAGTGAATATTTTCCGGAATGTCATGAATGAACAATCATTTTCTTCTCTGAATTCTCTCTAATTTCTCTATTCCTATTACCTATTTCTCACTTTCTCTTCTAAATCATCTAAAACCATAACAATTGGTATCGAGAGCCTTGATTCTGGCAAGTAAATCAGGAGCATGACAAAGAAAAATCAGAGTATGGAAGCTGATTTATCTGGGTTGCAGAAGCAGATGGAGGAACTAACAGCCTTGGTGAAACAAGGCCGCGAGACTAATCCACCGAAATGGTGGGAGACTCAGGAAAACAGGATTGCTGCACTAGAAGCAAGAATGTCCACTAATCAAGGTTATGTGGAGGAACTGTTGAAGATTTTAACGGGCAGAAATGGTGAGCAAGAGCAGTCTGCAGGTGATCAGGTAAACTCTCCTAATAACTCTAAAGATGGAGAAAAAAATCCTGTTTTGATCACTGTAGTGAAGGATAAATCAAGATTCACCTATAAAACTGATGAACCAGGGATATTGAAAGATAAGCCTGATGCTTGTTTAGCCCTTAAGAACGATTCTAGGCATGAAAATCAAATGGGTGAAAACAGTAACAGTAGACCTATTATGCTGGGATGGGAAGCTGAAAACAGGGGACCAGGGGGTTCTTTGTGGCATAGACCTAAAGTGAGCTGCCATTTTTTGAAGGGATAAATCCTAGGGGGTGGCTTCAGAAGTGTTTGAAGTATTTTTCTTTATGCAATGTTCATAGGGATCAAAGGGTGGAAGTGGCTACTATGTATCTTCAAGGAAAAGCAGAAATATGGTTTGATGGCTATATTATGCAGAAGCATCATGTAACTTGGCATGAGTTTGAAGCTGACTTGTGTCATAGATTTAGTGATAGGTCTTTTTCTGACATTGTGGAGGAATTCACTAAGCTTACTCAGAAAGGATCTGTTGAAGACTATCAAGAAAGGTTTGAGGAGCTACCACACATGTTATTACAGAATCCTACTTTGAGTGAGGATTTCTTTGTGTCACTTTTTATAAGTGGACTTAGGGAAGACATCAAACATAGAGTAAAAGCTTTAGATCCTAAAAATTTGTTTGAGGCATGCAAACAAGCTAAGCTCTATGAGTTATCTGTGGAGTTTGAAAACAGAAGGTTGAGACCTTCCTTTAAAGTCCCACCCTACCCAAACCCCATTACTAATTCCAAGACAAATTCAATGCCATTACCTATTAAATCCACACCAATTTCTAATCCTAAACAGAATCTCATTGATTACAGAAGGCAAAATAACCTTTGTTTTAAGTGTGGTGACAAATTTCAGCCTGGCCCAGTGTAAGACAGAAATTTGAATATGATGATTGAAGAGGAAATATTATTCCTACAGATTCTGTTCCTACTGACTCAGAACAGCAGACAATGCAAGAAGAGGAAAGTTTAGAAATATCAATGAATGCAATTACTGGTTGTATTAGCCATAATACATTGAGAATTCAAGGAACAATTCAGGGCAGACCTTTGAACATTCTGATTGACAGTGGGAGTACAAACAGTTTTTTGACACCTGAATGGGCTGATGCTGGAATTCAAGTTCTAACTCCCTACCCTTTAGCTATCACAGTAGCTAATGACCAACAGCTCTATAGTTCAGCTAGATGCAACAAGTGCAGTGGCAGATGCAAGGACACTCATTCATACATGACTTTAGACTCCTTAAATTAGGAGGAAGTGATATGGTTTTAGGGGTGGATTGGATGAGATTATATAGTCCAATTTTGATGGATTTCAATAAAATGACAATGAGTTTTGACCATCAAGGTGCAATATGTTATACAAGGACAGCAACCTTCACTACTGTTGCAGCAGATTTCAGGTGCTACTTTATTAAAAATGACAGCATCTAATGCTGCTATATTGGGGCATGTGATTCTGTTGAGTATGAATGAAACTCCTAAATCAATTCCTGCAGCTCTCAAACCTCTTTTAAAGAGGTATACCTCTGTTTTTGCTGAACTTACAGGGTTACCTCCTACAAGGACTCATGATCATGTTATTCCTCTCAAACCTGGTTCTAGTCCTATTAATCTCAGACCCTACAGATTTCCTCATAACCAGAAGACAGAAGTAGAACAGCAGATTGCTAAAATGTTAGACTCCTCTATTATTCAACCTAGCAAGAGTCCCTTTGCTTCACCATGCCTCTTAATTAAGAAAAAAGATGGGACTTGGAGGTTTTGTGTTGATTACAGACAATTAAACAATCTGACAGTAAAGGACAAGTTCCTATTCCTGTGGTGGAAGATCTATTAGATGAGTTATATGGTGCAGTTTATTTTTCCAAAATTGACTTAAGGTCAGGCTATTGGCAAATCAGAATTAAGAGAGGATATCTACAAACAACATTCAGAACTCATCAAGGGCATTATGAATTCAAGGTAATCCATTTGGTCTTACTAATGCCCCTGCTACATTTCAAGCATTAATGAATGATTTGTTTAAATCATTTATTAAAAAGTTTGTTTTGGTGTTTTTTGATGATATATTAGTCTACAGTAATTCCATGGCAGAACATATTACTCATTTGCAATTGGTTTTGGAGGTTTTGAAAGCAAATCAGTTATTTGCAAAACTGTCCAAGTGTTTTTTGGACAGACCCAAGTGGAGTACTTGGGGCATATTATTTCAGCAGCAGGTGTGGCAACAGATCCTACTAAGATAGAAGCTATGAAGAATTGGCCTCTTCCTAAATCTTTAAAGTCTCTGCGTGGATTTTTGGGTTGACTGGTTACTATAGGAGGTTTATTAAACATTATGGTTCCATAAGTAAGCCCTTGACTCAGATGCTTACTAAGGACAGTTTTCAATGGTCTTCTGCAGCTTTGACTGCTTTTGAAAACTTAAAACAGGCCATGTGTATTGCTCCTGTGTTAGCTTTACCTGATTTCACTAAGAGTTTCTATTTAGAAACTGATGCTAGTTCAGGGGGTATTGGTGCTGTGTTATCTCAGGAAGGCAGACCTATTGCTTATCTAAGTAAGGCTCTCAGTCCTAGACATGTTGATCTCTCCATTTATGAAAAGGAGTATCTTGCTATATTATTAGCAGTTTCTAAATGGAGGCATTATTGGAGAGTAAGCCATTTATTATTAAAACTGATCATGAGCCTCTAAAGTATTTATTGGAGCAGAAATTGACACCACAATTCAGAAGAAGGGGCTGACTAATTATTGGGGCTTGATTACTCTATTCAATACAGAAAGGGTAAGTCAAATATTGTGGCAGATGCTTTGTCTAGGCAATGGGAAGATCATAGTCAACTGTGGGCTATGGGGACTACTCTGATCATTCCTAGTTGGGTGACAGAAGTTGAAGGCAGTTATAAGGATGACAAATTGGCTGCTGATTGGATCAATATATTAATTGTGAATGCTACTGCTGATCCTAATTGGAAATTTCCAAAGGAATACTACGATTTAAAGGCAGAGTTTATATTGGTCCTATTGGGTCTTTGAGGCTTCAAATTCTGCAAACATTACATGATTCCCCTCATGGGGGCCATTCAGGAATTCAAGCTACTTACCAGAGGATCATATTTTATTGGCCTGGACTTAAAACTATGGTAGCCACTTATGTCAGATGTTGTAAAGTTTGTCAACAAACTAAGGTAGAACATGTGCCTAAACCAGGTTTGCTACAGCCTTTACCTATTCCTCACCAGGCTTGGGAGGTGGTTACTATGGATTTTATTGATGGCTTACCTACTTCATTGAAGAAAAACTGTATATTGGTGGTGGTGGATAAGTTTACAAAATACAGTCATTTTATGGCATTGTCCCACCCTTACACTGTGGTTGAGGTAGCTAAGTTGTACTTAAATAATGTCTACAAGCTACATGGTCAGCCTAAACTAGCTATTTCAGATAGGGACAAGACATTCACTAGCCTCTTTTGGAGAGAACTAATGAAGCAGCTTGGCACTACTACACTATTCAGCACAGCTTACCATCCTGAGACTGATGGTCAAACAGAAAGGGTGAATCAATGCCTTGAACAGTATTTAAGAGGGCTATGTTTTTTTCGACCAAAGCAATGGGCTAAATGGTTGCCACATGCTGAATGGTGGTACAATATACTTATCATACAGCACTAAACCTAACACCCTTTCAAGCTCTATATGGCTATAAACCTCCTACAATGGTTTGGCAGACTGAAACAACGATACAATCTGTTGGGGAACTAATGAGGAGCAGGGAAGAGATCAGGCAAATTGTGAAACAACAACTAGAAAATGCTGCAAACAGAATGAAACAGCAGGCAGATAAAAAGCGTTCTGAACAAAATTTTGCAATAGGGGATTGGGTTTACCTCAAACTGCAGCCGTATCGTCAAACATCCCTTGCACTGAGGAGGAATCTGAAATTAGCAGCCAAATTTTACGGGCCTTACAAAATCTTAGAGAAAATTGGAGAAGTGGCATATAAACTTGACTTACCAGAAGCGTCTCGATTACACCCTGTCTTCCATGTCAGTCTGTTGAAGAAGCATATTGGCTCTACAGTAACAGCCTTGACAGATCCTCCTGTGATAGATGAAGAGGGTCAGTTTCGCATAGAGCCAAGTAAAATCTTGGGAAGAAGAATCGTCAATCGTAATAATCGACCAGTTACTCAGTTGTTAGTGAGATGGACTAACCTCGACGAGTCGAACGATACTTGGGAGGATTACTCTGTTCTCCGCGGACAGTTTCCTTCTTTTGATCCTTGGGGACAAGGATCATCTCGAGGGGTGGGTATTGTCATGGTGGAAGGAGAAGGAGAGAACGCGAGGAAGAATTGGGGGAAGAATTGGGGGAAGAATTGCGAATGTTAGGGATTGAGCAAGAGAAATTAAGGATTAAAGCACGTGAGAAAGGGGCTAAGGATTTACCTGAAGTGGAGCAGGCTGATTCATATCAGATGATGGAGCCGGCCCAAGAAGAATGAAGGCAGCCCAAGTCAGCTAGTCCAGTATCTGCAGAAGAAGAAAGCATTAGGGGTTGTTTATTTTGTTAGAAAGGACAGCCAGCTGGCAATCCTTCTGTTAGCATTGTAACTAAATAAATTGGCTGAGTGAATATTTCCGGAATGTCATGAATGAACAATCATTTTCTTCTCTGAATTCTCTCTAATTTCTCTATTCCTATTACCTATTTCTCACTTTCTCTTCTAAATCATCTAAAACCATAACAGATTTATAGTGGTTTGACTTCTAAACCAAGTCTACATCCACTACCTTAGCTCTACACTAAGGATTTTCTAACAAATTCACTAACTTGTTCTTTCTTTTTCTAAGCTCAAGAGTAACCTTTACAAAACCTTTAGTTTTCCGATGGCTAAACTAGAACCACTCCCCTTTTACAAAGGTTGAAAGATGTAAACAAGAAAATCTGGTAAGTGTTTATAATAATTAAGCTCATAAGAAAAACAATTAAAAGATTTGCAATTGATTCAAACATTTATGTGTAAGAGAAAAATGAAATAAAAGAGTGAAAGAGCTTTTCTCTTGATCTCTATAGCTTGGATAGGTGTTGTAACCTTCTTCAAGTGTCCTCAATTTGTTTTTATATATTGGAATGACTTTGTGGCCGTTTCTAATTGTTGGGATGATTTGGAGCCGTTGAGGATTAATTTTCTACAAAAATAAAACTGCCCAGAACAGGGAGTATTGGTACTCGGGCTAGGAGTATCACTACTACCTTTGAAATATTTGAATAAATTAGTCGTTAAAGAGCGTTGGGCTCGACCAGTATCGATACTAGGGTTCATGGTATCGATATTACTGTGTAAAGTACTATCGGTACCCCTTCAGTACCGATGCTATCAAGAGAGTATCGATACTTCTCTTGGGTATCGTTACTTCTCTTACCTTAAGTATCGATACCACATGAACAGTGTAAATACGGTTCACGTAGTATCGATACTGTAAGAACAATATCAGTACTACTTATACAGAAAACTATTTTGTGTTCAAATTCTAGTTTAATGAACTTTAAATTATTTTTGAAAACTTTGAACAAATTCAGTCAAGTCTAAAAAACCATTTTACCTTTAAATTGTTATATCAAAATATTTTAAAACATTGTTCAACAGACTTTTATTCTTATATCTTATACCGGAAGACATGGTTGGTCCTCCTTGTTACAGGTACAATAAAAGGTCTAACAACTAACCAGCTGGAGGATATCGGTTGTCAAATAATTCTTGGGAATACATATCATTTGGCACTTCGTCCTACATCTGAGCTTATTGATGAATTGGGTGGTCTTCACAAATTTATGAACTGGCCTAGAGCATTGCTGACTGATTCTGGAGGCTTTCAGATGGTTGTGATATGATTTGACATGTTGCTGTATTTCTCTAAATTTTTGGTTCATTATATTGTTCATCATTTAAATTTTCTTGTGCTGGCCATTGTTTTATGCATGATACATTTTATGTGGCTTCAAAGCACTGGTGTTTTAAGAAAAATAATAAGAATTTTTAACCTGTGACGTTTGCTTGTTTTCCTTTCTCTGAATCATGATAACATTGTTACTACACTGCTTTAAATCATGATCCCAAGTGTGTTATAATTTTGGATGATTGCATTCTCTAAGGACCTTTATCCAAAGTAATCTTTAGTTTTAGTGATAGATAATATATGTGTGGCATGCACATTGAATATGACAATCTCTCTTGCTGATTACGTTTTAGGTATCGCTGCTGCATTTAGCTGACATCACTGAAAAGGGTGTAACATTTCAGGTAATTAGTTTTATTGTTATTATTTTTATTTGATGTTAAAAATTTTGTAAAATAATCTGATTAAGTATTAGCTTCAATCAGCATTCATTTTTTTTTCTTTTTTGTGATTTCCTTATAAAAAGCTTCATGTTTCTTAACTCAGTCTCCAGTTGATGGAAAGCCAATGCTCCTTACACCAGAGGAGTCTATTCAAATCCAAGTATGTGCTTTACTTTAGCCATTCTTGTTACATTATATGCTGTGGTATAAAGCTAAAATTTTAAGTTATCTCCTCCCCTAAATTTTGTAACACTGGGTCATATTAATGGGATGAGAGGTGATGTTTTGTTATTCTCGATTCCCTTTCAACTTAGTAATTGCCTCTTTTAAGACATGAACTAGAATTCCTTAAAGGTTGATTCTGTGTAAACAAGGGATGCTTGTTTTTTCAGATGCTTGATAGTGTATTTTACCGAGATCTGTTACTCTCTAGACATAATTTTTACTTAGGTATTTATTAGCAGTATAAATATCTTGCAAAATTTAAAGAGCAGTTGCTATGAGAACTTATGTTATGTGCCTTCACATTTTTATCCTCGAACCCCATCTCTCCTAACCCTTAACAGTACCCAGGTGATATGATAAAATTCTAAAAGTTTCTTGGGCTTGTTGTCTTTATATATTTTGAAGATTCCATTTTAACTTTGTCTATCCCTAACAATTATACAGAATAGAATTGGAGCAGATATCATAATGGCCCTTGATGATGTGGTGAAAACTACTATTACTAGTCCAAGAATTGAAGAGGCCATGTATCGTACCCTTCGTTGGATAGACAGATGCATAGCGGGTAGTTATGCTAAAGACTCAATATTTCTAGTTGTTCATGCATGGATAGATTGACCGTTTGGTTGAGGATCATATTACTTGCCAATGATTTAAGTTTTAAATAAGCATTTTGCCTTGTCTGCATGTCCTCTAGCTTGTTGAGATGGATTATCTTTTGTCGGGCTTGTGTGCATGGACTTTTGAAGCTCTTCAAAAGTTCTTATACAGTGTGTTATAATCATACAAAGCAACATAATTTATTGTTGAACATCATCATTTGGATCTCTCAATTTTCCATCATTCTTTTAACATAGCTCTCTGGCGTCCCATTTAAGTAACTGTTTTTTATTAGAAATGTTGTCATTCTCTTAATAGTGGCATTCTGATCGAGTTAGATCTTTTTTGCTGCCTTGATCTTATGGACAGCTCATAAAAGGCCACATGAGCAAAATTTGTTTGGTATTGTACAAGGTGGTTTAGATCCAGTACTAAGGTGAGTCTCTTATCTTCTTATTGCAACCATGCCTTTCGGTGTGTATTTTACCTCCTTTTCGTTTACTAATGATACTTTGGCTTTTTCACCCTTTTGATACTTGCTTTTATCAGGGATATATGTGTTCGGGGATTGGTGGATCGTAATTTACCAGGGTATGTGCATTCTATATCAAGGAATAACCTGTGCTATGTTTCCTTTGAAGATATTTTATAGAAGATGATCAGATCTTGATGTTTCATACTTTAGCAAGTTGCGACATAAAATTTTCCACATAACATTTCAAGATCCAAGTTTCTAGGACTAAAAAATAAAAGGTTGAGTTGACTAAAGAATAATTGATTATTTAAGCTTATGAATGATGTCCTGCTCATGTTATGTTCGCTATGTATGTACTTTTACAGCAGATGATCAGATCTTGATGTTTCATACTTTAGCAAGTTTCAGTAGAATTTTCCGCCTTGCATATTTCGATGTCTAAATCAATTTCTAGGGCAAAAAAATAATTGATTTTACTATTAGCAGAAAAATGATTGATTATTTAAGAAAATAATTGATTATTTAAGAAAATAAAACTCTATCTAAGTCTATGATTCCTAGTAATTTTTTTCTCCGGGGGGTGTGGGGTGGGGGGCTAAAGATTCCGTCAACAAGCTGAAGTAACTTAAGTTCACTTGTACGACAGGTATGCAATTGGTGGTCTTGCAGGTGGTGAAGATAAAGATTCATTTTGGCGTGTTGTTGCTCAGTGTACTGCAGCACTTCCTGAAGATAAACCACGATATGTCATGGTACAAATGAGTTTTGCCACTGTAATCTACATCCTCTGATTCTGACGAATTGAACCTTCTTTTCTCCATTTATAATGCTGTAAATCATTATATTTATGCTTGCTTCATTTCAGGGTGTTGGGTATCCGCTGGATATCGTAGTCTGTAGTGCCTTGGGTGCTGACACGTATGACTGTGTTTATCCTACTCGAACTGCTCGTTTTGGGACTGCTCTTGTTCCGGAGGTGATATATTTACAAAGTTTTAGGGAGTAAATGTTCTCAGTTTTGTCACTAGTTGCTACGAATGGTGTTTATGGCACTAGTCACTATTCTTTCTATTTGCCTTCTAGTATGACTAATCTTTTCTCATCAAATGTGTTACTATAACTTGTGCCTTGCATGTTATGTTTATCCTTTATCCACAGCCTACTCTATTTTTCTTGAATAACCTATGTCTTGCACTGATGTCAAACACATTTTAGACATGGATATGGGAAAATGTTTCTCCAAGGATCCTCCAAATACAAGAAGAAACTTAGAATAAATCAAAGATGTACATGATAGTATAATACTGTTAAAAGTTTGGTCTCTTTAGTTCACCTCCCTATGAATTGATATTTTTGTTATGAATTAGATAGTAAACCTAAAGGGTATTAACTATTAATCACAACTAGTTTTTATTTAAAATATGAATTTAGTATTCTGATGTCGTTCAAACAATTAATGCAGGGAGTGCTTAAACTCAAGCACAATGCGATGGCTGAGGATACTCGTCCTATCGATCCTGCATGTGCTTGTATGGTATGCATTTCATGACATATTTGCTTAAAAATGTTGATATATGAATTTTATTTTTGCCATAGTAAACTCTTTCCCGAAATATAGGTATGCAAGAACTATACAAGAGCCTACATTCATTCCCTTGTAACAAAGGATGCTATGGGATCTCAGCTTTTATCATATCATAATCTATACTATATGATGCAGGTACAACCTTAAAGTTTATATGTTTTATGCTTTGTTGCTTTCATGTTTACTTTATTTTATGTTGAGAGTCCTTGCCGATTTCAGCTTAGCAGAAATCTACACTCATCCATAGTCAAGGGGAAGTTTCCCGAGTATGTTTGCGTCTTGCTTTGTGCGACTTACATTTTTCTCTCTTTTCTTTTCATGCAGTAAAAGCAAATTTACTGTTCTTTATCTTTCTCTGTACAGGTTTGTATGCGACTTTTTGCAGAAAATGGTATTTTTATCTCTCTTCCTGCCATCGTTTTTCTAAAATGCTAGAGTTTCCTGGTCGTACTTAACATCTTTTAATTTTGCCCTGTAACCTACTTCAGTCTTTCATTTTTCCAAAACATTATTCTTTATAGTGGTTGGCTCAAATTTAGGATTATTTCAAAGTTCTATGTTTTTCCTAAGTTTTAGTGATGAAATATTGCCGTCGTAGGTTCCAGTCCGAGTACGTTGGCATCTATTACATCGCAACATTACCCACTGTTAACCTTTACACAATTACCTTTTCCCTAGCCTAACTGTCTTGTACTTTGTGTACCGGGAAATGTAGGAAGACTAGATTATAATTTGATATTAGGTCCACTTGTGAGTTATATGAATATTTAGGTTAAATTATCTGGCGGATCCTTGTACTATAGGCTTAGAGTAAATTAGTCTTATAAAAGTGAGCATTTTAGGCCTTGTATATTTAATTTTATGAAGTGCCATGTCACCCTCGGACTTTATGGAGCTTTGCACTGTCTTGTAGTTTCCTAAAGGAGATGTCCCTGAATGGGTCTGCAATGCCATGGAAGTTGCTGAAATTGATATCTCTTCTTGCTGGGCTCCTTTCCGTAACGATTAAATATAGAAGATCAAATTTTGGTGTTTCTTGTCTCGGCTTCTGAGGATGAGATTGAAGAAATCTAATTTATAGGTAATCAAATAGAGCAGCATAAATTTTGTAGCTTATAGTAATGCTGCTTCACCCCCATTGAGCACACGTTCACCATTTTCTGTCATAAAATGTGTTGTAAATTTTACACAGATAAAAAAGAATATGCGTGGTTTCTTTTCGTGTTTTTATTAAATGTATTAGCTTCGATCAAGTGATCGATCAGAGATTCATATGTGGTTTAATTGAGTTGATTTAAAGAAGTGATTAAAATACACGAGGTTGAAATTTCCTTCAGTGTCTTGAGGTATTAGGGGTTTCAGGTTCAAGGAACTGTTTTTTTTTCACTTAAGAAAATTATGCGGGCCTCGTTAAAAACCACTTCTAAACCAACCAGGATGTTGGACCTAAAAGGGGAAAAGAGTAGTACTCAACTAACTTAAATAAATCTTGAATATGCATAATGAAACATAGATGGAAAATGTATTAAAAAAAATTATATACTTAAGCATCACGGACAAGTTTTCTGCAATTGAGTTCAGAACCAAATATCAAAATCTAGGTTCAACTCAGCTTGAGCCATAGAACAGGATGGCAATTTGACAGCCAAACCTTGTGGTCCACAAGGATCATAAGATAACCATTATTCCTATTTCATTTCCCTTGCTGGATGTGGCAAAATGACAACCTTTTATAACTAACGGAAAGCTCAAGCATTTTAGTTTGATTTGGCTGTTATTCAATTCTCAAATCACTTAAAATGGTTTTAATTTTAAAGCATTTTAAATAACAGCTCCTAATGAAGCATGCTTCTTTCAAAAATCTGTGTGTATCTTAATCCTGTAGTTAACTTTGATTAAGGAAAGGGTTTTCTTTTCCTTATTTTTTTGTTCTCATCATTTTGTTCATCAAAGCACTTGAAGCTGCTTAGCTGAGAGAATTGACAAGCATTAAAAGAGAAGAAGCCCTTTTTGTGTACCAGCATTTTTGCCATTCTTGTCAGCTTTCACATTCAGTGTCAATATATACTGCTTCCTGTTTGTGGTTAATGGAGATGCAAAACACCATATTTGCTTGAAAGTTTGAACCCTCCTTCAGCAACTGTAAACAGTACGTTGAAAACGAAAAAGAGGTCATCTTTTGTTATTAGCTTTTGGCTTAAATCATGAATCACTCCAGTTCTTCAGGTTCCATGGATGCTTTCATCTCCATTTCTCCACCTGAAGGTAGAGGAAACTCAACAAGTATTAGTTTAGAGTTTAGACTTTTTAGACCCCGTTTTTTGTTGGGATTAAACCTGCAATTTTTTTTCTGCAACAAAACAGTGTAAGTTCTTATATTTACCGTGTTAATGAGTTAAATCTGTTGAATTGCATAGAGAAGGATTCAAAGAACGAGGAAGTTTACAGCAGGGAGTTCCAAGCAATGCTGGATGGTTTAGAGGAAGAAGACAAATTAGAAGAAGCTGGTCAAGCTACTGAGAAGAAAAAGCGATTATCTATGGTTCAGGTAAAGGCATTGGAGAAGATTTTCGAGGTGGAAAGCAAGGTGGAGCCTGATAGGAAGGTTAAATTAGCTGAAGAGTTAGGGCTGCAACCGAGACAAGTAGCTATCTGGTTCCAAAACAGACGTGCCCGTTGGAAGACTAAGCAGCTGGAGAAAGATTATGTTGTTCTTAAAGCAAATTATGATGCTCTTAAGCTTGATTATAACAATCTTCAACAAGAGAATGATGCATTGACTGCAGAGGTATATAGTTCATTGCTGAAATCCTATTTGGTTTGCAGTAATTAATGTGTTTCTTGGATGCTGAAATTGCAGTTGAGAGATCTGAAAGCAAAAGTCAAAGAAGATTGTGATAAATTCTCAGAGAAGATCAAAGACCATGATTTGTGTGAGAATGATGATGATTCAACTGGGATTGTTAAAGAAGAGATCGATGTTAATGCTCAGTTATTGATGTCACATGCTTCTTCTTCTTTTCAAGTAAATGGATCTTCTTCATCTTCAGATTCATCAAATCATCATCATCAATGGTTTCAACCATTCGAGCCAAGAATGATTGTGGGTAATATGCACCAATCGCAGCTTGTGAAAGTGGAAGAACAATGCATGATTACTGCAGAAGAATGTTGCAATTTCTTCTCAGTGGACCAAGCTCCATCTCTTCAATGGTATTTCACTGGGCAGTGAAAGAATGTCTTTAAAACCCATCAAATTCTTGCTTGACAAATAAAATAGCCTTGAAAGTTTTGTTAATCAAGTTATGTTCTTTTGATTTGAAATATATATATGTGTGTGTGTTTAGCATATGATTCAAGCATTCTACAATGGACATCAGAAAGTAGGCAAAAATGATCTCTAAATATGATCTTAAGATCATAGTTCAACAATAGTTACGAGATTCGAAATCGAATTGAATTTATTTTGTAATGTACAAACAAACTATTAATGTGATATAACTTTATCAAGTTCGAAGGTATGAAAATTTGACAAGGGTAGCATAGCTGGCATTGCCAAAATGCAAAATACGACTGAGTAAAGGTGTTTTCCATTTAAGAAAGGCAAGCAAAAAATAGAGAAAGGAGAACCTTTTATGTCCAAGCTCCAATCTTTTTCTTGTGTTTCCTTTCACTTTTGTTTATCCCATTTCTGATAGGCTCCCATCAGCCCATGTGGTGGGTAAATGTAGATCCTCCCTCTCATCACCTAAATTTCACAAATGCACCGACTCATAATTTTATGTTACGATATAAACTTATAAAAAATTTAAAAAACAAAATATATTATTAATAAAATATAAAAATATTTTAATTATATAAGAATTTAAAATTTTCGATACACTATCTCTCCTTCCAACTCTACGTGTCATCCATATGCGGAAGAAGAGATTAGGGTGGTCCCTTTCCACTTGTACTGGTTTGGCTGGGAAAGGGACAGACCAAAAAACTGGTCTCTCTCGTCACAGAAATGGGTCCTCTATGTCATCCATCTTTGACTGTTAATGCCCCCATGGAATCTACCTATACAGCATTGTCCAAGCCCTATTCTCTCACCAATAACCACTAAATAAATTCCAAGATTAATAAAAAATATTAAAATAAATTAATAAAAATACATTTAAGTACCAATTAAAATAAAAGAATTGAGGTACCAACATAAAAGTTACACTGAATCCGTATAAAATATAAAAAATAATAGATATATAAAAGTTACGCTGAATCTATATAAATTCCAAAATAAAAATACATCTTTATGTATATGTAGAATGCATATTTTGGTCGGGACCCAGGTTCATTTATTTCTTCATCAAACCTAAGTCTGATCCTAAACCAGTCCATTAAACTTAATCTACCCTACCTACTTGCCTAGACTCAGAACCCAAGCCCAGAGCTCCGAATCTGGGTCAAAATCTATAACATCCTATGAATAGTCTGATCGAATAATCAAAACGAAATTTTGAAAATAATTTTAAAAGAATTTCCTAAAATGTTTTTTATTAAATGAAATTGGGATTTATTTAATTTTTATTTTAAAATTGAAAAAAGTTCATATGTAGAGCTTGTAAACTCTAAAAAATAATTGTATTTTGTCTCAAAAATAAGATGTTTTCCTCTAAATAATCATTCTGAATAACAAGAGATCAACAAACTCTCAACTAAAGAAGAAGAGGGATAACGTAGGAAGAGAATATACTAAGGGGTGAAAACATGATATATATAAATAGTTTATTAATTTGATTTGAGAAGGCAATCGGTTAGTAGATAGATTAACTAAAATGAACCAAAATAATACATCTCTTGATATAATATGGTGTTCTATTCTCTTCTCAGAGCAAATTAATTCAATTCTCTAAGGAAAACATGTTAATTTGATTCACGACCATTAGGTTTCTAAGCTGATGTAATCTTATTTATTATAAGACAAAAACGAAAACAAACCAAATTTCTTATTTATATATATACGAAAAAGAAATTGATTAATTTGAACTTTAACTTTATCATTCTTTGGTTATAAAATCATATTTTATTTTCTCTTATCTAAATTTAATAATAAATGTGAAAGTGATGAAGAAAAGTAACAAAGGGGTATGGATCCCCAATGTTTCCGACTCCTTTAACTAATTTACCACGAGTTCAACATGTCCTGAGACCAGCAAAATCAAAGTGTATATCTCATCTATTTTATAAAGTATTTATTTATATTAAAATCTTAAAGATATATAATTCCTACTTTCTCAGTTACGTTTTGTGTCGGACATTGATTATTCTAAGTTATTAATGGCCCCTCCCTTTGTTGGGGCATATTACGTGGACTCCCTCAAGTCCATCTACGGTTCTTGGACTAAGTTGAATAATTAAATTAAGTCATTGTATTTGTCCTCACCAATTGACTTTTATTCTCTCTTCAAATTTTGTTGACACTTTAGAGGCTGCTTTCGGGCGATTGATGAGGTCTTTGAGGTTATCAAACGGACAGTCAGCGTTAAGTTGCATGATTGTAGCGTTAACAAGGCTGATAGGGTTAATTCTCAACTTTGCCTTGACTGGAACATCGGCTAGCTTGATGTTTGCTTCTGATCTGTTGGTCTCTTGCCTGTAGACATGCGAGAGGTCCCTTTGTGGTGGTTGTTTGCGGGTTGTTTTCCTTTTCTAATTTTGCTGTTTGTTGTTTTACTATTTACTACTTGCTGTTTGCTTCTTTTTTAGTTGTCCTTCTTGAGTTGTTTTGCTTAGGTTGCTTGTAGGGTGTTGTTTATTTTTGATTTGCTTTCTGCAGTTGTATTGGTATTTGCTCTTTCTTTGGGTGATAAAATCAAATTATCAAAAAAAAAAATTTGTTGACTATATCTAAATCCCTTATAATTTTAAATTTTTTAATAAAAAATATATATTTAATTACGTTCAGACTTGTAATGCGTTATAACAATAATAATCAAATTAAAATTTAATCACTCATAATAATTAATAAAACATTTGTTCACAAACATATATGGAAATGTTCAAAGATAACAGTAAAAGAATAGTTATTACCCCTTGGTATGGTCAAACTCTTTTTAGCCCTTTCCACCCAAAACGTCGATCTAGAGTTTAAATTAGATCAAAGAAATTAATTTTATAAAAACAAAAGGTGTTGCTGACATCATTTAAAAGATTGAGTTTATAAAATAATACTTCATTTTAATACATATTTTCCATACATTTTCAAGCACAAATGGTATTTTGAAAAGATGGCTTAGGTGATTAAATTATTATTTTTAATTAAAAAATACATATTAGATGGTTGAAAAACAAGGGATATGCACTCAAAATATGTATATTCTTTTACGGTTGAAGTAAATGAAAATAGCATCGAAATTAAAATATTAAAACTAAGGGTAAACTACATGTTTAGTACACAAATTAGTATTTTTGTTTCGTTTTGATACCTAAACTTATTCTTTTTCAAAACATACCTACCGTTTAGTTCAAGTTTCAAATTGGTACCCACCGTTAACGTTGTGTTTTTTTTTCAATGATGACATGTCATTATCTTATGTGATACGTCAACATCACTACTAAGTTTTTAACAGCGTGGGTATCAAATTAAAATAAAAACTAAAAAATTAGGTATGATTTTTAAAAAATAAAGTTTAGGTACTAAAACGTTTAGAAATAAAAGTGAAAGTTTAGGTATTAAACATGTAGTTTACCCTAAAATTAATCTTCATAATCATGAAAAATAAAACGGACTTACCGTATTTAAGAAGGCTTTCCGGATTTTCTACGAATATCAACCACACGATGACAATCAAGTGGACCCCAACCAACATTCCCTAAATCAGAACCCTTCATTTAGTCCAATAGTCTCCTTCTAAAAAATAACTTTTCGAATGGTCAACCTGAATTTAAAAGGGAAAAAATCCACAAAGGGGAAGCTCCCATGAAACTGTCTTGCAAGCAAAACCCAACCTCCCACTCTTCCTTTATAAAAATAGTTTCTTTTACAGCCCAAAGAAAAAACTCAGAACCCAATGCTAAACCTGAAAACATCATCGGAAAATATCGGAGGTGGCGGCCGTGGCCGGCGATCCAAGCCAAGTGAAGGATGTGAAAGACACCCAAAACACAAACAATCACCAGGAGTTTGTTCACTTTGTTTAGCACAGAAACTGTCTCAGTTATCAACTCATTCATCCACACTTGCCTATGCTTCTTCCTCTTCTTCTGTATCATCCTACTGTTATTCATCTTCTTCTTCCTCTCCCTTTCGTCCTCCTCGTTTTACTGCACATGGAAAAGGGTCTTCCTTTTCTTTTTTATTGTTCAGTGGTAAGAATTTACTCACTAAGAGCAGATCAGTTGCTTGTGCTTCAAGGATGAAGAGCAAAGAAGGCAATGGCCATAAGAAGGAGAAAGGTGGGTTCTTGTACAAGTTGCTTCATCCGACAAACACTAAGACGAAAGAACAAGGTCCATTAATGGCGGCTTTCGCTTGATTTTTTTTGTGTTGAACTTGTTTCGTTGATAGATTAGATTACTACTCACATAAGTTGTTTGCTTGAAAGAATATAATGAATCGTATGTACTTCGAGAAACATTTATGGTACTATATGATATCATTATTAGATTCCTCTTGCTGTTGTTATTAGGGATGGTAAAAAAACCCGAACCCGATGGGAAAACCGAATTAAACGGGTTGGGTTCGAGATGATAAACGAGGACGGATATGGGGAAAATTCATTTATTTTAAACGGGGACGGGAACAGGGACGAGTTTGATAATTCCCGCCCCGATTACCCGATTTTGTTATTTCATGATGAAAATATGGGGTTTGCTTTGCCAACCGCTTTTGTGAAGGAAACGTTGTTTAATTTTGTCTCGTGTTAAAAAAGAATGGACAAAATTTTCGTATTTTAAATCAAAATAAACTCTACTCCTCTATGTTATCTTGTACTTCAATTATTTCATTTTTTAAGCAAATATATCGTACGTATAAATAAATAAAGCGTTCGATGAATCATTCATATAATATTAACTTATTTTTGTTTGTTGAGCTAAATAAACAAGCATGAACAAAACTTTTATGTTCACTTAATAAACAAACGAACACAAACAAAGTTGTATTCAGTTTGTTTATGTTCACAAACAATCTCACTTATGCTCATGAATAAGCTTGTTTACTTTTTATTTTATTTTTTTACATTTTAAATATTAGTGAATGTAGGGATTAAATTGAGCACATGGTAAAATTTAGAGTTTAAATTGTGACGCTTAAGGAGTTAAGCACTATTGGTGTAATTTTATCATTTTTAGTTTACAAATGATCATGTTTGTGAACTCTAAATGAATATGTTCGCGATTATATAAATGAACGTGAAACGAACACATTTGCAAACACTAAATAAACGAACACGAATACAATATTAACATTTTAAACGAACACAAACCGAGTATGAACAACTTTAAAAATAAAAAACGAACATGAACACAAACTTATTCATTTACACCCGTAACTTGGCCTAATAAATCAGTTGGTCGAACTGTGGGCTTATATATGGGACAAATTATTCATATATGGTTAAAAGATATCTGACGTCTTTGTACTTTTGAAAAAAATTGATGTGGAACTCAAACTATTTTGCACTCAATGTGGCCATCAACTTAGAAAATAAATCCAACGTGACACATTAACTAATACTTTCAATTGTAGACTATTATGGCAATTATGTGACGATTCACGATGTTAATATAACGATTCACTATACTGATGTGATGGTCCACGGTGAATAATGATGTGACAGATGACATGATAAATGAGTTAAATTGATTTTTTATCTTGTTCAATGGCTAAATTAATTTCTTTAAAGTTCAAGACTTATCTTTTTTTAAAGAGAAAATAACTTCAGTGACCGAAAATGTCTTATAATATACAATTTTAACCAACTTTTTTTGGATTTGCCAAAATGACCAACAAAATCGCAATGCGAACTCTAATTTTTCAACTCAGTTTCCAAATTCGCAACGCGAATATCCATATTCGCAACGCGATTTTGAAAAATGTGTTGCGATAGTTAAAATGTGTTGCGATAGTGAAAAATCCAAAATAAGTTTACATTTTAACTATTCCAAATTCACGTGGAGTTTGAAACAATAAAAAATGTGTTGCGATAGTGTAAAAGATTCCCAAGTGTTTGCAATGATCAATCCCACAGAGTATTGGAAACATTATTGGGAATGTTTAATTAAGGCTTGGATTTCCCACTTCCTTGTTGAGTGGAAGAGAACAAGGGGGACTCTCGCGCACCGCCGCCGCTGCCGTCCCGTCTCGGGTCGGGTCGGGTCGGGTCGTGGTCATACGTGTCTTCGACACGTTCGTGCGGATACTATCTTTTTAGAGAAAATTTTTAAGAAACAAATACAATACCACCAGTCGTTGCGAACTTCGACTATCACAACGTGAACTTCGACTATCACAACGTGAACTTGGACTATCGCAACGAATTTGGACTAACGTAAATTTGGAAAATCGCATTGCGATTTTGTATTATCGTGTTGCGATTTACATATTCGCATTGCGATAGTCAAAATCGCGTTGCGAATCTGGAAACTGATTTGCGATACTGGAGATCGCGTTGCGATTTAGAGATCGCATTGCGATTTTGTTGGTCATTTTGGCAAATCGAAAAAAATTTGGTCAAAATCGTATATTATAAGGCATTTTCGGTCACTGAGGTTATTTTCTCTTTTTTAAATCATTTTAAAAGTTAAATATAAAAATATTTAAAAATAAAATAAAAAACAATAAAAATAAAAATAAAAAATTAAATTACTATAAAATTAAATAATAAAAAATCATTTTAACTTTTAAGTTACTACTTCACAACTCACAAGAGGCCTGGTATTAATTTCTAATCGTCTCTCACTTTGTCTAAGCACATATTTTCACCTGTATTGTCGCTTGTTCGTTGAAACAACAGGTACGGCATAAGGGGGATTATTTGGGTTATTATTAACGTTAAGTCAGGTTACTCTCCCCTAGTCATTACTTGGGTTATTACCCATAACCATGCACATACTTGGTTGCCTCTTAATTGACCTTAGACCCCATACATTCTCAATTAATGGGCATCATGTATAGGGAACACCAAAGGTTTTCTTGAAGCAATTATGGCTCTGTTCTACACTCACCAATAAAGGATTGATTTTAGATTCATTTCTGCCATGCTCAAAACTTCAACTGAATTTGCTATTGTTTATGTTTTACATTCTATTTCAATGGCTTCCGAATCATCCACGGTTTCAATCAAACTTTTGATTGACCAGGAAAGTAACAAAGTAATTCTGGCTGAAGCTGGTAATGATTTTGTTGATACTCTCCGTAGTCTGCTTACATTTCCTCTCGGAAACATTGCACGACTTGTCGGCAAATATCCGATTTCGCAGCCCGGTTGCTTAAATAACCTATACAACAGCGTCAAAAACCTCAGCCTCAACAGCTTTCGGAGCCATGCATGTAAGTTTATGCTGCTTCATCCAAGAAGCATTCATGAAGACAAGTTGAAGAACTTGAAGCTTCCCATGGATTTTACACAGCCTACAAAATATTTCGCATGCGGAAACCTGAAATGTAGAGAAAAACAAGATGTTTTGTTGAGTAATTATGAAACTTCAAGATGCTCTCGCGGAGAGTTGATGTCTACACAGACAAGGTTTCGTGGAGGGGAAAGAGATGCTGTAACAGATGAAACCGAGGGAGAGTTGTGTAAGGTAGAATCAATGTTTTTCGTCACTGATTTAAGAGTGATTAAAGGTTATCCAGGACGTCTGATTAGCTTCCTTTCGGATTTGGGTGTGGAGAATGTTATCATATTGAAGTGAAGGTCCTCGAAATTGGTCCGAAAGAGGTATTGCATATTACTCACTTTGAGCCATTCAATACGATGTTTATTTGATAGTTGTGTTTAATTTCATATGTCTGATCTTTTGAGCCATTCATTGTTCTCGAAGACTACTTTTTCTGATGTTTTCCTAAGAAAACAAGGAAATCTCAGCAGTACGCCATTGCTCGATGAACAATTCGTGCTCCTGCCTATAGACACGGAGGAGGAGACAACCAAAAACGATGGCAAAACAAGTGAATATAATACAGAGAAAGTGTGATAGGAAGATAGTATGCGGAGAAGTAAGTGAAAGTTTTGTTGATCTTCTGTTTAGCTTCCTCACCATCCCTCTGGAATCTGTGTTGAAACTCATGAGAAGTAAGGGTAACCTCACAGTAGGCTCCATCTCTAACTTGTTTAGAGATTTAGACGCTATATTCTCCATAAGAAAGCTAGAGGCTTCAACAAAGTAGTTCTTCCCCCGTTTTATAGTTGCCCAAATGAGTTTCCAGATATCTGTTCTCAGGAGCCCCCAAGATATAATATAAGACTGCTGGTTGTCGGTACACCGTCAGACTGATGGACCCAAAATCTCCAAAAGTGAGCACAACAAACAGTTCAGGGTATGTTAAGAAAATGTGGCAGTATGTGGTAACAGATGGTCTAGTAGTAAAATCACTATCCTCTGTTTCTAGCATTGCCTTGTTACAGGAAGTCGGGATACAGCCTGATGTTGTTGAACAGCAAGAGATTAACATCGGAGAGGTTGAAGTTGTTCCCTTTTGGATTTTGGTCAATTGGTAGGCTCTAAATTTGCATTCTTGAGTAACCCTGAGTATTTTGGTGCAGGCGCTTGCTTTATTAAGGGCTTGTCTATGTTCATCCACAACTTTGTCAGCTTTACTTGGCGTCAAACAACCAAAGAAAGAGCCGTTATAGGGAAAGAAACATTATTTTATTGTTGGAGCATCTAGGATTTGGAATTGTGTGTGGATTTTGTTAGAATCCTCAGTCCCAAACTTATTGCAACCCTTTCATCTTTGATTTTCCTTAATTGTCTTGGTATCTAGAAATATGAACGAAAACAGATTCAAAATGAGTATTGAGTGCAACGATTCGTATTCATGAAAAGAAAATATAGGAGTATATTTTAACCTACCTATTCATGTAATTTTATTTTGATCATTCAATTATTATTTTTTAAATCATATCTTAGGTTAAGACTAAATTCTGTTTTCGTCACTCGTCATTAAAAAATTAATGATAATGTTAATGCATTATCATAACATCATCATTGAATTTCTTTTTTTAATATCACATAAATAGTTCTATTTATTTTTTAACAAACGACTAAATAAAACTAAAACTTAACATTAAATATAAAATAATTGAATTACTAAACGAAACCTCGGATTTTACACTTTAAACCAAAATAATTGAGTTACTAAACAAAAAAATTACCTGTTAAGAAATGAGGTTAAAGTAGAAATAACCGATAGTACACTTTAAACAAAAGGGTCATAGGAATGTGTTCTTAAAAATGGTTACATCAAGGAAAGTGTAAAGGCTTCCTTTTTTATGAGCCCAGGCATTGTATCATCCTTGATCTGATTAGTCTAGAAATACATTCCAAAATTTCTTATTACTTCATCCTTTCAAATACGACTTTCATTTAACAAATTCATCTGTGGTTAACTGGGTGGATATAACAGAAGAAAACCTTCTACAGGGGTCCTGGAAAAGTACCATTCTCCCTTTGCTCATTCCATCGGTCGATCTGAAACGCAACGAATGGAGTGATTGGTAGATTAAAGAGGAAATTGTAAATAAAAAATTAAGCAATATTTATTAAGGATGAAATTCTACTTATGAAGAGACTGACTACTAATACAAGGTTTCATATTTTTTACTAGTTCAAATAGTTTAAAATGGGACCACAAGAATGTATTGATCAAAGCATAACCCTTCCCCATCCCTCGAAATAAAATGTAAGCAAAAAATCTCCAGATCTGTTGACAATGAACTGTCTGAGGACCTCAGATACTGGACCAGTTTGAGATAAGGGTTCAGTAATTTTAGTCCAACCAAAGAATCAACTATAAGATTTAGTCTAAATGCCAGCACAAAATTGGACTCCATCATATTTTTATACTAATTGGAGCCCTTGAATGGATTTCTCTTTTCTTGTATGGCCTAAATTTTAACATCTACATCTATTGTTTGGGTAACTTAGATAAGCTAAGGGTTTGCGGTAGCTTTTAACAGTCATATGTTTCCTCTAAGTTTAAGTCTATCATTATGTGTTTTGACGCTAGCTTCCTGAATAAGCACAACTTAGTGGCCCTTCCATAACAGCTAAGATTGAATAGTTCCTAAGGGATGGGTGCAACCAAAATCCAAATCTAATTCCCTTCATCATCTCCTCTCAACCAAACTCTTTCACAAATTTCAAACCAAATTCTTATCAACCCCCCTTATTTTCCCCATAAAACCCTAATTTCTTAAATAAAAGGATTATCCTTCAACATGTTTCTTGCTGCAAACCCAAATAGGTATACACCTGTATCTACTTCTCTATACAAGTGATATACCCCAAAGTATTCTTTCTCCAAATGCAAACCCTCCAAGAAATCTATGTCCTACCTAAGGCCACCAATGGGCAGATTTCAATTTGGTTTTACATCAGTGGCACCAATATATTCGGTCCATATGGACTTTCCTGCACTTAAATTCATCAAAAGATACAAAAAGGAATTCAACCAATTCACTGTACTCTTATTTGACCAACCTTCAACATTTTAGGATTAACTTAGAAACAACTATGTCAAAAGGATGTGGAGTCATAAGGTATTCCCTGGTTTACAAATGTAAAAAGAGAAACAGACGATAGCCACCAATGACAGTTCAAAGTTAATAACATTATGCAGTTGATTATGATAAAGAGTGGATTATGGATCTTGAGAGAAAAAACATACCCATTCTCCAGGACATAGGGCACGATAAAACTTGGCAAACTTATCACACTCTGAAGCATCTTCTCCTTTTGCATCAACACAACTGCATAAGAAAGGATAAAGATATATCAAGAAGCATTTTTTAAAAAGAAACAAACCTTTATACCTTTATAAGATACAAAATAACTCATAACTCACCGATGGTACTCAATGTATCGTGTGAAGCAATGCCTTGTTTGGTTTGTAGTTGGGAAGCGAAAATCTGCTGGGCAGTCTCAAGCTGCATATCAAGCGTCACGAAAATAATGAAATATGTTAGTGAAGCAATCTAACATGTAAGGAACTAATGATGAGTTCAACATGCACAAATAATCTGGAGGCAGCACAGATGAAGATCTTAATAAACAAATCCAGCAGGGAAACCTTAATCTCTGGTGTTTCTTCAGCATCATCGGAGTTCACTGCTACAGCGGGAGCATCTTCACCACTGTTCTCTGCAGTTGAATTGGCTTCAGTGCTTTCTTCAGCAGGAGCAGGAGGGGCCTCAGTGCTTTCCTCAACTACAGGAGCAGGAGTCTCCACTTTCTCAGTGACAACTTTCACAGACTGAGCATTGACAGGATTTTCAACCTCTTTCGCTTCTGCTGGTTTAGTAGACACATCTGATTTTTCCTCCTCCTTGAGCGCAGATTGCTAAATGTCCAAACATTCAAATAGGTTTCCAAGATGATCAGGTCAAACAAATACCCCCACTATACATAGCACCCATTATCAAAAAAAAAAAAAAACTTAGTACCTTCTCAATCACACAAACGGCATTACAATCAAGATATGTAGTAAATTCATTTAAGTTATTAACACCAAAGCTTTGCAAAAAAGGTTGCATCCTAGCTAAACTTAAGCATAAATGGAATATTCAAAAAAGACCAACAAGCTTCAAAGAAGGTAGAAATCATAATTAATCATTCTATAACATCATATACATTATTTCCACACAACATAGTAATAAACAAATTTCCTATTAGTAAGTCAAAAGCTTAAATACCAAGTCATCCAAAATTTTGCTCAGAATTTTTTTCTTGATTCCACATTATCTAAGCCCCCTAGGGGTCAAGTGCATCCCCATTATTTAGGAAAAAAAGTGAAATTTAGTATAATATGTTAAAGAAAAATGGAAGAAATTTTTTTTTTGCACCCCCATCTATAAATTTCTGGATCCGCCAATACGCTTGGCAGCTACTGACAAATCCAACAAAGTTTTGCTCAAAACATTATGATTTCATTGGCCCTTATCAATGACGTCTCTCAAAACACCCACATCGTATACAGAAAACTCAAATAGATAGAAACTTAAGGCAAGTAATAAAGTAACTTCAATGATCTGATTTATTTAGAAAAAAAAAAGCTGCAACAAATTATGTTAATCACGTGTTCAAGATGACTCTCAAGAAAGTTGAATCTTAAATATATTTGATAAACGAGCATAGACAGTCAAATTTTAATCAAAACCACTATATCAGAACCTCAAAATGCTGATACTAATATCAGTAGCAAAATCCAGCGATACTCGGTCAGACCCGCTAATTTCAGTCCAATTAAACAAAATTCTAAGAGAAATAAAAATTTAGAAACCAAAACAATCCACACTATAACAATAAACGGAAAAACTCAACGGAGATCGAACTTGTCGATTCTTACAAGGAATAAATTTAAGTACTCATAGAAATGATACTGAATAATGAATACCTCGGATAGGGAAAGGGGTTTTCCGTATTCAGCTTCCGCCATTTCCAGAAGAGGATGCGATCGGCTGCTTCTGAGAACTTTTAATCAGCTGCGGCCTGAGGGCGAGATGTTTGGAGAGGCGGCCGAAGCAGGATAATAAGGTGTGAGAGAGCTAGAGATAGATTTTAGTTAGGTTAGAATTTCTACGGTTAAACTGTTTTGCTGCGCATTCAGTCACCCACGTAATTGCATCTTTCACTTCACTGCTTTTTTAATGGTAAGGAAGTTTTTGGAAAATAACCAACGACTTAGATTTATATTCTTATATGAGTAGTGATAGAGTCGATTTTAAAAAGATAAAAATAATATTTTAAAAAATATTTTTGAAAACACTTTAATATTCACTTAAAAATATAGATAATTACAGTATTAAAATGAATTAATATAAAATTAAAACTAATTTTAAAAACAATGATAAAATTTTATTCTAATTTTAATAAAAAGTAAATTAATTTACAATTATAAAATAATATATTTGATAATTGTAATGGTAAAATAATGAGATTGATTTTTTTGATTATTTTTAGTTTAAATATTAAAATTTTAATTATAATTTAAATATTTAAAAAATTATGTATTTGATTATAATATATATTTTTATTTTTAAAAGATTATTAATGATAAATTTATTATTATTGTGGAATATTAAAGGAAGTTGAAGGATTATATGTTAGATTTGTTAAGTTCGAGACATTTTTTAGTGAAATGAACATCGAACTCGTGCTCAAGATGTCAAAAAAGGGAAGAGTAAAAATTTTGGGATCCAATAGTCGATGACGACAGCAACCGATGTTGATTGATGGTGATGGTGGTGAGTGATGACTGACGATAGGAGATTTTGATTGAATTCAGAGATTAAATTAATATTTTATCTAAAATTTATTGGTTAAAATGATATTTTATCTAATTTTAAGGTTTAAAATAAACATTAACCTCTTTTGATTAACGTGCAACATCATTAAATTAATTGGAGTTAATGGCTCAATGACTAAAATGTAATAATCAATAATATAAGTAATCAAAATTTAATAAATCGATAATGTAAGTTACCTATAAATAACTCTTTTTTTCGGTTTAGTGAGCAAAAATATACGAATATAAATAATTTATCCTAATTTATTTCTAAACATTTAAAATCCATAGAATCATTAAATAATACAAAAGATTGAGAAGGCCCAATGAATTCTAAAAGTCTGATATTTTTAATATAAAAATTGAATTTTCCATTTTTTCGCAATTTTAAGATTTTATGAATTTTAAAGGACTTTAATTTTTTTTTTTTTTTACATAATATGTGACTACCAACCTGTTTTGCATTTTTTTTTAAGAAGAACCAACCTGTTTTGCAAGATTGCAAGCACGATCAGGAGAGTTGAGAATCTCATAGTAGAAAACAGAGAAATTTAGTGCCAGTCCAAGTCGGATCGGGTGAGTTGGAGCCAACTCGGCGCCGGCAATGTCCTATGAAGAAAAAAAACTTGAGGGTTAATGTCAATAGAAATGCTTGAAGCATATCTCTAAGAAAATAAAGCAACAATTTTAGAAACCTGAGCAGATTTATAAGCAGTGAGAGTACTCTCAGCATCTTCCTTACGTTCGGCTCCAGCCTTGAATTCAGCCAAATACCTATGATAATCGCCCTTCATCTTAAGATAAAAGACCTTGGAGTCTTTAGCGGAAGCCGAAGGGATTAGCCTGGAGTCAAGCAGCTTCAAGATCCCGTCACAGATGGAGGAAAGCTCGGACTCGATCTTGGCCCGATAATCACGTATGGCATCGACGTGATCCTCATTACCACGGCTCTCCTCTTTCTGCTCGATGGAGGAAACGATCCGCCACGAAGCACGGCGTGCGCCGATCACGTTCTTGTAAGCGACGGAGAGAAGGTTCCGTTCCTCGACGCTGAGGTCCTCGTTGTCGGCGGAGAGGGAGACCTTCTCCATGAAGTCGACCATTTCGTCGTAGCGCTCGGCTTGCTCGGCGAGTTTGGCCATGTAAACGAAATCCTCGCGGGAAGAAGGGGCGGCGGCCATTTCGTGGGGTTAGGGGATGGGGTTGAGCGAAAGGGGAATGGGAGGAAGGGTAGGTTTAGAAAATTGATTTAGATCATTTGAGAGGATGGGAGAAGTGTGGGGGACGATGATTGCGTTAGAGAAGGGAAGCTGGGAAACATGGGATTCTGAGTTTTTGGGTAATTCACCAAAGCTGAACACTCGGTTTCTCGCCCTCTTTTCGAGGGAGTACTCCATTTCAATATATGCATGGGCTTCTGCTTCGGGTACTCATGCATGGGTTTCTTGGACGATCTCCTTTTGTCCTATCATTATAAAAAAAATATCACATAATAATATTATTATTTCGTAAAATATATAACATCATTGTTTTTAAATTTTTAATTTTCATTTTTACGTAAGATTACTTTTTTTAATCTTTTTAAAGCATGTCATTCTTTTCTATTTAGTATTGAGATATCTTCGCTATTATCATATTTGTCTACCTTGCATTTTTCATTCAATAAAATGCTCGACGTGAAACCATATAGTCAAATAATAATTTTGATATCATTTGTCATGTGATCATTACCTTTTTCACCTACAGGTTATATACTAGATTTTCTTTCTTAAAGGTTCTAGTTTAAACCCCTCAAAAATATTTGTTTATTTTTTTCTTATAAAGAATAGTTATATCAAACCAACATCATTTTATTGGGACATCCATATAATTGCATCATTACCAAATTAATGATCTAATAATATAATTAAAGTTAAAATTAAAATTTAATATTATAATTTAAACAATTAAAAATTCATTAATTAATCCGAAGATACATCTAAATCTTAATAACATTTGTTGTAATTTAATTTAATAAAAAAGTGATAAGCAATAGAGAAAAGGATACAACTATAATAATTTTTTTAAAGATACATAAGCCTGAAAAGTTGTTAAGATATTGCAAGGCTGAACTCTATCGGCACTTGATATCTTGGACATTTCTGGTCACCAAATTTACTATCATGGCGCATCTCATTTCTGCAGATTTCTTCTTCTTGATCAATTTCATCAACTGCACTTTCCCACTCAATTTGGAATGGCAGTTCACTGCCAATAACCCTGATTCAATATCACTTTGCAAGCTTGAATTATTTGGTATATTGCTTGAGTTCAATTCCACAGCGACATTCATCTTCTTTGTGGATCTTGCCTTGCTTCTTCCTTTAGCAACCAATGCATCTCCAACTCCAACTCCCCCGTAATCGAACGAAATGGTGGTGTTTTGGAATTTGAAGTGGCCGAAATTTGTGTTCTTTACGGCAACTTGGGCGTTGAGTTTAATGCTGAAAGAAGGAGGGTTGGGGGCGGACGCCGTGAGATCCTGGACGGTGATAGAGTGGACCCTGAACTTGGGATTTTTGAAACGCATGACTGTAAGTGAAAAAACCAAGATGACAATAGTCTGGAAGATGGCGAAAGCTAATGCGTAAACAATCCATTTCATGCGTTTCTTTCGCTTCAGCTGCTTGGAAACCTCTGCAGCGGACTCCATTTCTGTCTTTTTCTGTTGGTAACTTTGATCCGCCATTGCTGTATTCTCAAAAGGAAAAGGCTACTGTTTTTTCTTCCTTTTACCTCTTGGACTTGTTATATTGGAGTTTGAAAGAGAAATAGCTGAGGATTGAGGATTTGAGGTATTAGTATTAGCTTCATGTATATATATATAATTACAATGTACAAGTGGAAGTTGATATCGTTAATGTAACATAGTACAAAACATTAGCTAGGAAAAAGTTAGAAAACTGAATCCAATCCAATCCAATCCAAACCTAACCACAACCCACCAAAGAACAGTTCAAGCTCTCCAGTGTGTAATTAGTAAATATAAACTCTTCTTTGACTAAGCATGAAATGCTTCTATTTTGTCAGGCCAAATATTCCACTTTCTACATTTACATAAGAATCAGACTTTGAAGTTTCGAAAGAGCTTAAGATTTTTTTTTTTAAAACATATTAAAATATGTATATTTCAGACAATAAATTGTTACGCTGAGGTTCTCGTAAAAAAAAGGATACATGTAAATGGTACAATTGTTTTGGTCCCAATGATCTTTGAAGCAAAGCAATTACTAAAAAGAAGTGAAAATTAGCTCGACATAACTTGCTTTAATTCCTTCCCAATACATTTGTTTGATACTGGTGACTTTGTGGTATATGTTGCTTAAAAGTTTTACAGAAGATCCTACACGGCTAACTACTTTAGTGGTGTCAACTTAATACGGTTTTAATATCCTGAAATATTATAAAATAAAAAATAGAAGAAAGGGATAAATTATAAAGTTCAATGCAGTCAAATAATATGGAAAAATATAAAAATAAATGTTAAAAAAACAATTCATTACAGTGTATATGACACAAAATTCATAGAAACGTTCGTAAGGACTAATAATTCCTTAATTATCCAACCATTCGCTAAGCTTGCAAGACGAAATTTCTCATAACATGTAACTACAGAATGTCAGACAATAAATAAATGTTATCATCCAGTATATACAAGAACCAACAAAGTGGATCTTATTGATCAACACATGAGTGAACCACTAAAATAGAATAGACGTTAGATATCAGATTATGGTTGAACCAACAAGTAGATATTATAGATCATATCATGATTGAACCGATGAAATTACCAACTCGATCATGGTTTAATTTGCATATACTTCCTCTTAAACAAAACCACCCAATATAACATAACAAGTATACCATGCTTTCATGATGCAGAATCAGAATCAGGATGCATGTACAGATCAAGTTTACTTCAGAAACATACACGCAAAGATTAGACATATGACAAAACCATACATACAATTCAAAAGATACACCATAACAACGGAAACAAAAACACACAAAATTCAAATATGTTTCCTTAACAAAAAAACAATGCTTAATCAAACTTAGAGTTAAGAAAGAAATTATATTATCACACTTAGAAGGGTCCTTCACATTGCTTAAGGAAGATGCAGTTTTGACGGCAATTTCACGAGAGAAGTTGTGCTTTTCGATTAAGTGATCAGCTAAAGAAAATGAAGATTTTGATTCCTGGGTGGCAGCAGAGACGAAGAAAGCAACAGAGATGGGATAACAAGAAATGGGTTTCCGAAAACAGGATGATTTATTGAGAGACAATGAGATAAGAGATCTGATAATAGGGGGTGCCATTTTTTCCCCTTTTTTGAGGTTTTACAGGTTTAGATTCGCTGGTCTTCTTTTAGCATAACTAACAGAATTTACAGAGATATTGCTGATAAATCTTGCCTGTAACACCAGCTTCCGTCTTCCTTCTGACACTGATATTGCTGATAAATCTGGGTTCTTTCGGTTTCACGACCTACAGAGAGCAATACTCTAAAACAAAGTTTATTTGGGTTTAGGGCACAAATTTAGCTTCAGATGTTCGGGTTTTGCGCCCACCTTGTATGCCCAATAGTTTTGGGTCACAAGTTACAACATTTCTTTTCTTTTTCCCTATTGCATTTCCACTTTTTTACAAGTTCGGTATGGTTATTTATTATTTTCTTCTTATATGGTGTATTATTTAAGTATTTTATATTTAATTAATTAATTTAAATTAATATAAAGGTCCATTATAGATTATTTTTCTGACTTAATTTGTTTTATTCAAGATATTAAGATGTGTTTGGTTTACGGATCATAAAATTATCTTTTAAAATAAGATTTTAAGATTTATAACACTACCTTATTAAAATTATAAACATGATTTACTGTGGCCTGCAATAGGTCAATCCAAATGACATTTAGGTTAGCAGTCCGCCTCCGGCAGCAAAATGGAATATCAGAGTAGAAGTTCACCGGAGAGAAAAATAAAATCTCTGAATAATTACAAGTACTAACACACTTGCCGTGAAACCTTCTGTATGCGTATATAAATAAATTTAGAAATTGGAGCAAATACGGTAACCATCACGAGTGCATGCGCATTATAAGGCTTGGCTATACAAGCAGGCCTTTCAAGAAAGAAAACGGAGTCTGAAAAATGTAATATTAGTAGTCCATTGCCAACAAAACATCTTAAAAATTATTAGTGATGCATAATATATATAGATAATGATTCAATCTTCAACGCACAAATGATTTTTACTAGTAATAATCAATAGACAAATGGATACAACTGCAAGAAATTTTTTAAAGATACATATGATATATAAGCCTGAGAAGTTAAGATATTGCAAAGCTGAACTCTATTGGCACTTGATATCTTGGACATTTCTGGTCACCAAATTTACTATCATGGCGCATCTCATTTCTGCAGATTTCTTCTTCTTGATCAATTTCATCAACTGCACTTTCCCACTCAATTTGGAATGGCAGTTCACTGCCAATAACCCTGATTCAATATCACTTTGCAAGCTTGAATTATTTGGTATATTGCTTGAGTTCAATTCCACAGCGACATTCATCTTCTTTGTGGATCTTGCCTTGCTTTCCTTTAGCAACCAATGCATCTCCAACTCCAACTCCCCGTAATCGAACGAAATGGTGGTGTTTGGAATTTGAAGTGGCCGAAATTTGTGTTCTTTACGGCAACTTGGGCGTTGAGTTTAATGCTGAAAGAAGGAGGGTTGGGGGCGGACGCCGTGAGATCCTGGACGGTGATAGAGTGGACCCTGAACTTGGGATTTTTGAAACGCATGACTGTAAGTGAAAAAACCAAGATGACAATAGTCTGGAAGATGGCAAAAGATAATGCGTAAACAATCCATTTCATGCGTTTCTTTCGCTTCAGCTGCTTGGAAACCTCTGCAGCGGACTCCATTTCTGTCTTTTTCTGTTGGTAACTTTGATCCGCCATTGCTGTATTCTCAAAAGGAAAAGGCTACTGTTTTTTCTTCCTTTTACCTCTTGGACTTGTTATATTGGAGTTTGAAAGAGAAATAGCTGAGGATTGAGGTATTAGTATGAGCTTCATGTATATATATATAATTACAATATACAAGTGGAAGATGATATCGTTAATGTAACATAGTACAAAACATTAGCTAGGAAAAAGTTAGAAAACTGAATCCAATCCAAACCTAACCACAACCCACCAAAGAACAGTTCAAGCTATCCCGTGTGTAATTAGTAAATATAAACTCTTCTTTGACTAAGCATGAAATGCTTCTATTTTGTCAGGTCAAATATTCCACTTTCTACATTTACATAAGATTCAGATGTTGAAGCTTCGAAAGTGCTTAAGATTTTTTTTTATTTAAAACTTATTAAAATATGTATATTTCAGACAATAAATTGTTACGCTGAGGCTCTTGCAAAAGAAGGGTTGAAAGTAGATGGTACAATTTTTCAGAACATATCATCATATCAGATATATGTTTCAAAATATAAACATGAATAAAATACAAATATATGAATGTATCAAAAAATATATAATACATTATTTATGCGTAAAAATACAATATAGAGTTTTTTTTTGTACTTAAGGTTCATGTTTGATATTGAACTTCAATCGAACTAAGTTTTTTTTGAGCTCAAATCGAGTTTCAATTTTCTATTTTGAGTCGAGCTTGAAAATTTTAAATTCGTAAGCTTTCGAGTCTAATCGAGCTTCATTTTTATTTATTTCAAGTTCGAGTCGAGCTTAACAATTTTAAACTCTTCAGTTTTCAAATTGAATCGAGACAAACTCAACCATATTCAAACTCAACTCAATTCTTTTACCGCCCTAATTGTATGCCAGTGGATGGAGGCTAGAGGGGGCCATTGTTTCTCCCATGCTCTCAAGTACATTGCTCCCCTCATTATTGCTTCCTTAACTTTCCTTTAACCCCTACAAAAAATATATTTTTGATCAATATATTTTTTAAGTACACAAATGATCACTAAATTATGCTTAAATGATATTTTAAAGTAAAGTACACAAATGATCACTAAATTATGCTTAAATGATATTTTTGATCAATAAAGTCTCATAAGTCACAAAATATTACTTAAATTTTCTCAAACTATTACAAAATAATTCTTAAACTTAACATGCAATGATCATTTTATAACAATTCAATAAGTTTAATGATCATTTTATAACTTTTTAAAATTTTAATAAAAATATCATTTTCATTTATCCTATATCTTATCACTACCTAACGCATTGGCATCACTACAGAGAATATAAAGCAACCGATAATATTACTGGTAGTGTATGTTGATGGACAATTGAGCAATGTATTTTATGTTTTGGTTGGTGGAGTGAGATATCAATTTCTATTGGCAAATATGAATTGGAATAAAATGGGATGGATTTACAAGTTGAGGGTATCATTGGATCATGAAACTTTTATTATACTTGGATGATTAAAAAAACAAGTATGGAGTGGCATTAATAAAGTAGGCAAAATTAAAGCAAAGAAGGCTGTGGATCCCCTCCCTCCTTTTTGTTTTAAAAAACAATATCTGATGCCCAAGCACTCCTCCGAGACATTAAAAAAAATAACACACAACACAGGTTCATAAGTAGCATGTCCATTTCACCGACCCAGCAGATTTTGATCAGATTTAGAATTAAAAAAATCTGACACGACTAATACGATATTATATTATAATTATCTTTTATATATTTAAAAATAATTATGATAATATCATTTTTTATTTTATCTTTTTAATTAAATTTTTATTTTACATAATAAAAAGAACTTTATAAATATAGATAGAGTCCACTCAATGCAGGTTTTGACCTAAAATCAAGTCGGATTTTAGATGGAACATACCCTCTTAAATTTAATTTAAATTAGATAAAAATGAAAGAATTAAAATTTTAAATTGAATTCTGGGTAAAAAAGCCAGCTAGACCCATGGGCTCCCATTCATAAGTGCCTATGCTGTTCGATATAACAAGGGAAACAAAGAGAATCACCAAGAAGTCTGCCATGAAAGGACGAGAAACCAAGGGAGTTCCTTCAGCAGATTTGCTAGTATGTCTACCGTCTCGAGCCCGTTTAACCTTGATGCCGAAGCCAATTTGTAGCCCCACGAGAGCATCAGAATCCAACAAGCACCACCACAATCACCAACATTACCACCGTCGTCTCCTTAAGAAATCAAGCACCATAAAGGGTAGTGGAGGTTGCAGTGGCAGCCGTTCTAGCCCTTTGCTTTGGGCTAAAGTCAAGCAAATAGGACCCGACATCACGGAACCAACCTCCCCAAAAGTCACATGTGCAGGGCAGATCAAAGTCGGGTCTAAAACAAGTTCATGTAAAACCTGGCAATCAGTCATGGAAGAGATCGAAAAGATTCACAACAGCCGGCATCGTAAAAGGAGACCAAGTTGGGTGGAGTCTCTTGGTTTTAAGAAAGAAGTCGTGCAATTCTTAACGTGTTTGCGGGGCATTCGTTTCGATTTTCGATGCTTCGGGTCTTTTCCCCGATCCGACATCACTTCTGATGACGAAGATGAAGAATCCCAAGAAAATCGCAACCATGAAGATGAGGACGAGACCTCAGGAGCCATCTTTTCCAAATGGCTAATGGTGCTGCAAGAGAATCACGACAACGGGTTTTATAAAGAAGAAGAAACGAGGGTCCACGATCTTGTTGATGATGATCAAGCTGCGATTCCACCTCCGAATGCACTCTTGCTTATGCGTTGTAGGTCTGCTCCTGCAAAGGCTAGGAAAGAAGAGAATGAGGAAGACAAGAACAAAACAAGGAAGTTGAATCCATTAATGGAAGAAAAAAACAGAAAGACAAAAGAGAGCTTGGTGGTGATGGGGTACGAGTACGACTGTGATTTCTACAAAATTTCAACTGAAATTGCCAAAGAAACATGGGTTGTTGGTGGAATGAAAGACCCATTGTCCCGAAGTCGAAGTTGGAAGAGTTGATAAAGATTTTCCCAGTGACCTAATTTCCTTTTTCTTGTTCATTTCGTGAGGAATAAAGTTTTCTCTGTGCTTGAACTTTGAATTCCAATATGAATGATTTACAAGTTTGTATCTTTATCACACCCTAATATGTACAGCTTTCCTGAGTTATTATTTCAGTTCCTTTTGATATTGATTTGCAGGAGGTTCTTCACCTCCTTAGATGTATACAAGTTATGATTTAACTCATCAAAAGCTTAAAGTTATGAACTTGACAGTGAATATAGAACACAAGCTTAAGCCTTAAAGTGATTCTAAATCATAATTTCCGGCTAAAATGAGAAGATAGATTTAAATTATTCAAAGTATCTCTGCCCATCGTGCTTTTCATCATTCTACGCCACCTTTTTCTCTGTCACTATCACCGGCCACGCCCACCATTAAACTTTAGAAATTATACGAAAGGTAATAGAAAATTTTAAAATACATCTGGTTAATATAACGTTAATAAACCACATAAATCTTCAAATCTTATTAAGAGCCTAACTTTTTATGTTGAATAAAGAAATATTTTAGGTTGAAATAAAAAATGTTACATTATTCATAACATTTTAATTAATTTGTATAATTTTTTTCGATTACATCATAAACCCCATAATATAACATTTTAGATGTAACCGAAAATATCACAAATTTGTATAATTTTTTAAATTGAACAAGATAATATTTTATGTTGAAAAACATCTTAAATTAGATATTACACGTAAGAAATAATTAGTTTTTATAAAACAAAATTAGATATTTTTTTTTACTTCGTTTGGATCAAATGAAATCTTGAATTGTTAGTGTTTTATTTTTCATATTCAAGATGTTCTAAATTTATACACAATTCTACATATTAATAATTTATTTATGTTGGTTTTGTCACCTATAGGTGTTCTTATTATATCAATATTTTTCATTGTTTACATTTATATTCATATTTTTTATGTTTAGAGAATTATAAATTGTATATATTTTTTACATACTAATAATTTTTTATGCATGTATTTAAATATTTTCGTGTATTTGTGAGATATTTGTATTTAAAATTTTATATTGCATTGATTGCATAGTTTATCATAATGATTCAATTTATATAATAAATTATGTAATTATGTCGTATTTGTGCTGTATTATAATTTATCTTATATTTTTACCTAATATTTAATAATATGATTGAAGTTGAGGAAAAAAATAAACTTTCTATTATTTCAATTGAATTATTTTGTACCAAAAATAATAAAATAAATAATTTCTTAGAAGAGTATTGTTCTTCTTAGAGTTTTTGGATTTGAACAGCGACGTTTACAGAGTGTGTATGCTGTTAATGGTGAAAGATTTTGAACATATACTATTTTATAATCACTCCAAACTATTTTAAAAAAATTATAATTCTCAAACAACATAATTATAAAAATATTTAACTTTTACTAAAATATTTAACTTTATGTAAATGAAAGAAATAATATTTAAAAAGTAAAAGGATACATAAATACTATTGTTATATTAAACTAAATGCGAAGATATTTACTCTTTGTAAATTTCATTACTGAAATTTACTCTCTCTCCTATTTTGCTCACTAAACTTAATATTTTAGGTTTTTTTGTTCATTCCACCATTAAATAGTTAACGGCGTTAAAATGACGTGTCGTTTTAAAAAGATAAAATTTTCACCAAAACAACATTCTTTTACATATATATGACAGCCCATTGCCCCCACTTATAACGTCGTTAGTGAGAAAATGGCTGAGTAACCAAAAAATCCAATGTATTAAATTCAGTGAGAAAATTGAAAATATTTAAAACATGCGAGTGAAATAAGAGATAGAGTAAAGTTCAGTTATCAAATTTGTAATTTACCCTTACTCTTATATTCATGCACAGTTTTGTGTCAGCCTTAAACAGAGGCCTTAAACTCTTCAGCACGCTGTTTCTTGAGCTGGATGCGAGCCTTAAACAATGCCCGGTCTACTTCATCATCTCCAGGTGTTTCCCTTATCAATATCTCATAATCCTGAATTGCCACTTCCCATCTCTCTAGCTGATTTTACATAAATAGCAAATGATTTGGTCAACAAATATTCAACGCCAATCTTTGCATGCTTCAGAAAAGGTAAAAATTGTTTACCTTATACCTTGCCATTACAATCAGCTCTCCTTAGCCTTGCCTTGCTGTAAGAAGGCTGCACCTTAAGGGCGACGGTGCAATCCTCGATGGCCTCTTTGAATTGGCCTAGCTTAGATCTACAGGCTGCTCTGTTGCATAGCAGAACTGAATTGTATGGAACATTCTCCAGTCCTTTACACTATGGAAGCCTCCGAGAATTTCGATGCCTTGAAGAGCAAGTTACCGCTCAATCGAGCTGACGATACTGCTCTTGTCTGCTTTATCACTAGTGTTATTTCTTTGTTGTGTGGATCGAGTCTGGCAGCATGCTGAGCTGCTGATATAGCATCATCTAGCCTATTATAATCAGACCAAGTCCACTGTTAATTTTTTGGTTCAGGTGAATTCTATATTCCAAATATATTTACAGAAACCAATTATGGAGATTTCTTTCTACTAACCTGCCAGAAACCATGAAGACCAGTGCTTTGATCATTAAAAGATAAGCACTCACGGCCATACCGAAGAAATTTATACAAGATTCAACGGCAAAATTCGTTCCTTTGCTGTGGGATGTATAGGCTTCTTGATGCCTGTTGAGCTTCAGAAAGGCCTCTGTTTGAAGAGCATAAACCTGGTGACGATCACAAAACATGACCTTGAACATTTTTATGTAACTAGATGCTGCAGATGTTAAAAAGAGACATGTTTAAATAATAAAAAGAACAAACCACAGGTGCAGAATCAACTCCAGAGGTTATAGCACATTGAGTCTCCTTAAGTAGAGTATTCCATTCCTTTGATTTTTGAGCATCTGCGCATCTTAAGGCAGTGATCGAGAGCCTGAGCTTTAGCAATGTCGTTGGAGTCGGCATGATTTCCAGCATATTCGTAGTGATCCAATGCTTGTTTTGCTTCTCCCAATCTGCATGGAAAATTGAGATAATCATATAGAAAACTGCAAGTAATACTAATTTCCAATTTTCTTTCCGTAGATGATTATACAAGGTTGTTCTTTACATGAGTCTATGGAATGTTGTTACCTGAGATAAATTGTTGCCAAACGGTGATGAGCTCTGCAATAAGTAGGATCAAGCTGAATAGCTTCTTTACACTCAACAACTGCTTCCATAACACTGCCTAAACGTAACAAGGCAGCACTCTTATTACAATGGTACGTCGCCTTCTTCGGACCGAGACAACTTGCTTGTTCGTAAAGGGTCAGTGCCTCTTCAAACCTTCCCCGGTTGTATGCCTCGTTTCCCATCTTCTTCAATACCTCAAAATCTAATCCACGAAACCGTTTAAATTCGACACTTGGCTTCCTTATAATATTGCCCATAGGAGAAGCAGTAGCCGGAATAAGAGCTTTTGTATTGTTTGGTTTTTGTTTCTGTAACTTTGGATCACATGTCAAGTCTTGTGACAGCCTTGTTTGAGTCGAAGCAGACGAGGATGATGCTAAGCTTCTTGCAGCATCTAAGGATGTTCCATTGTTCTTTTTCATGTGAGAACTCGAAACCGAATTCCGAGGTTGTTTCAGGGGGACAAAATCCACTGAGCTGTCACGTCTCCTGCCGGAATCATTGATTGAAGGTTTCTTAGACTTAACCGTGACCGGTTCCTTGGGAACCTTGTCGATGCCTTTTGCAGGCAAGGCAGGCAGTGATGATTTTCTCGACCATTTGGTCCATGGATGGAAAATTCCTCCCATTAAACCACAACCCAAATCTTGCTCCATTGAATACTTCGTCATTTAACAACTATAAATGCATGTACAAAGAATGAACTCGAAGAAGAAGAATAATGAAAGAAATGAAAACTTAAACAAGAATAAACAAATGGAAGATTAGAAAGGGAAAAACAACAAGAGATGGGTTGAAAGTGAAGGATTCAATGTAGCCTGGAAGATAAATTTATATCAATCACTGCCCTCCAAAGTGCCAGCGGCTTCCAAGAAACCAACTTTATCTTTATATATAGGAACAAACAGGGGATGCATTCAACCTGCAAACATTTCTAAAAAATAAATGCTAAAAAGAATGTCTTTGTTCATTAGTTGCATAATTATTATGATTTGTTAAAATAAAACAAAGAATCCAAACAATACATTGTGGTGATCCCTTGTAGATACAATAACAAGAGTCGCTGAGATGATTTGTTTTAATAAACAATTTCTAGCAAGTGCCTTTTCCCTTGTAGTTCTACATATCTTTTAAATTTTGTTGAACTTTTGCTACTTGAAATGAAATTAAGATACTTTGACCAACATCAACCCAAAGCAAGGAGGAAAAAATACCAGATATTGAGGGTCATATATCGCTAAAAGAAGAGGCATCACGGGTATACTGATTTGGGGGTTAGTTAAATTTGCGGTAAATTACATGAAGTTGTCCTTTAACTTTTAGGTGCTTACATTTTGGTCACTTAAATTTTAAAACTTATATTACAATTACTAATTTTAATCCGCTTTTTTATTATTTTTGTTAAAAAAATATGATATGACATGTTAAAGTCATCTATTTTTCCCAAGAACCCTAAGTTTGTGCGTTCACCTCCTTTCATGTGTCGTTGTTCGAGATGATGTTCTTTCCATCTCGTCACCACTAACAAAATCTATCGTACTCAAGAACTTCACCATCTTCCTATATTTGTCACGATCATTTCATTCATTTTTTCCTCATCTTCCTATCATGGAACAATTTCAGCTCGACGAGCTCCAAGGTATATATTTTTTAGGTCGGTGAAGGATGTAAATTTTTGGTCGGGTCGGCCGAAACCCGACCCATGCCCATCCTTAGTCGTGGAGTAAGAGTAAATGTATGAGTTTATTACTATAAAGAATGAAATTGATTGAATGATTACAAATGAGGGGAGCTCTCTATTTGTAGTTGATGCCCTCGAGATCCGACGATCTATATC